GAGATATGTGGTAAATGGATATTTTAGAGAAACTGAGAATTTTCTAACATATGTTTGTTTTCTACCCGGTTCTCATTTCTGTGATGAGATGAAAAATGTTTCCATTAAGTTTTTCTTTATCTCACAGTTTTTTAATATTCTCTGTCCATTTTTGTATTAGCAAATTGAAATGGTTTTTAGATAAATAATTTCAAAATACAGTGAAAACCCCATGTGTGGACATCTTGACATGCAGACAATTCAACATAGGGACATTTATTTTTCAATAAAAAGGGCATAAGAAAGGCCCAACATATGGACACTGACTCAACATGAAGACATTGCATAATAAAATTGCCGATACATTTCACAAAAATTGACTTTTATTAGGCTTAATTGCAAGAAACAGATATTTCCAACCCTCTGAAGTATGCAAGAAAAATTATTTTTCATTTCTCCCGTCATTTTCCCATCCATTCAGCTAATAAAAAAATACCTATTCAATAGAGGGACTTCCTTCTCTCTTTGTGACTTGAATGTTATTTTTGCAGATGCCAACATTTCAGTGTACCCTACAGAGGAACACTATTCAATGCCTCAAATGTTCTTATTGAGTTTAAAATATATTCACTGAATCAAATTCAAAGGGCAAACAAAGGCGTTTTTCAAGCACAAACAAAATTTCAAAAGCACAAAACTTGAACGGTAACATACCTTATAATTAAAAGTGCCTCGTTTCTGTGGATATTTTTAAACTGGAAAATATATTCACCGAATCAAATTCAAAGGGCAAACAATTTTTTTTCATGGAATTCTGAAGAATATTTCTTCCATAAAACACCAATTAAAAATTAGATAATGTGTGGCTATGGGTAAAGAAGATGACTTATGGACAATTCAACTTAGGGACAATCTTCATTCACCAATTATGTCCACATCTTGGGGTCTCACTACAAAATTGCCACAATAATCTAATTTTCTACCACATTTCCACTGCAAAGATTTTATCCTGAGGTTCTTTCTGAAGAGTTATTTTTCTCTCGCGATTTAGTGTTCGTTCCCAAAAATGCTGTACAAATGAAAGTTTCACATTAAATCTATGTTAGATCATCCACCGAAATTTCAAGGATCATATGATGTGATCGAAAATTTCTTCCCGAGGGATTTTCCGGTGTTTCTGTCTGTTTTTATTTGTTCACACATTGATCGATGGAACAACAACGAAAAAAAAAAAAAGAAGTTTCCTTGGATACTTGGATACCTTGGAATCCTGCGGAACCGTGCGAACAAACCAACGGAAACGCTGTTCTAACTTCCATCTCCTTTTTTTTAGCAAAAAATAAAACAAAACAAAAACGTGGCCCTCCTCTGGATGTTTGATGAAGAGAAAGAATATATTCTTATATACGAGTGATCGTGAATTATGCAAGCTACGCTCGACTGCGCGATCAATGAACTCTACTTTTCCATCTTCAGTCTGCTTTCTTTGAAGAAAAAACGATGGGTTTCTCTGCTTTATTTTTTTGTTTTTTGGTACGTTATTTTAAAAATATTATTGGTTGGGTTTTTGCGTTTGTGGAAAATGCTCGAAAGATTTAGAGAAGCGTTGCAAATTTTCTCATCATTGTGGTTATATATATAAATATAATATTGATATATTTTTTTTTTCTTGGCTAGATTTCATGCAGTGTTTTTTTAAAAATCCATTTCAATATTTTTTGTTGTTGTTGGTTTGAATTTAAAGTTGTCTTGGTTTTACTTCCTGGCCATGTTTTGAAGTGTGAACCTAACAAGTGATGTTTGCAAATTAAAAATTGGATAACATTCAAGGAATGGTTGAAAATGTTGGTCACTTGAAATTTAGCCATTTAGCTACTTAGTTATTTGGGTAACAACTAACTTTTGTATGCTTAAGCATGTCCTAATACCCTGTACAACAGTTATAAATGCCTCTCTTCATTACTTTGCAGTTGATCTTCAGATTGTTACTATTGAGGGATAATTTTGAAATTGAGAGAATTAATGTGGGGAATTCACAATTCCCCCTTGGCTGTATACTAATGAGATAATGGTGCCTTTCTACTTTTTTGAAATGCATGCTTTGTATTTGATGAACATTGAAAAGCTCAAAATCAAATTTTTTGTTAGTCTCTTGAAATTCAACTTAATGGAACCAACTTAATTTGAAATTAATTGCAAGGTTTGATTGCACAAATCTCATTATAACAAATCTTTATTAATAACAAACTTGTTTCAAGGTCCTTTCAGTATAATATCATATTCAAGGTGTACTGCAAGTTATACTGAAAAACTTTTTTACAACAAAGCCATTTGGACTCTTTTAAAATAGCTTTATATTGTATTGAATTTTTTTTTATTGAGTTTGATACCTCATTCAACATTGTGCCTATTGAAAAGGGACCTAAAATAACTTTGTTGTAAGCAATTATTCATAGCAATGAGATTATTTCTGACAAGAGTGTATTGTTCAACAACTGTTTTAGTACAATGAAGAATTTCTTGATGCCTTTGGCTTTCTTTTAGACAGATCCTGCAATACACAGATAGCCTCTCTTTACACAACAAAATGCAAGTGACCAGAAACAATGTATGGTGCAGAGAATTTCACCACAGAGAACCACTTTTAATGTGGGCAAAGAATCCTACATGGAACCAAAACCAAATTGTGAAACTGAGGAAATATCATGGAGAAAGCCTCCTGCATATATATTCCAACCATTTCTGATTTGCTGTTCTATTTCTGGCCAATCTTGAGTTCTTGACACGCTTCTTTGCACTTGTCAGTCAATTTAAGTTCGCCACGCACAAAAAATAATGCAAACTTTACAATTTATTGCATCTCAACTCCTTTGCATTGAAAAATAAGGGAGCCTTATTGTGGCAGCAAATCCAAAGAAAAAGCTGTATATACACTACAGTACCAATTTTCGTCTGCACGAACAGACGTCCGTGAAATCATTCAACAGCAATACCAAAAAAAAAAATTTTCTCAGGACAAAGGAAACAATTTTCTTTTTGCCGTCCGCACGCAGAAAAGAAATGAGGTACAACAGGAGACTGGAAGTTCGGTATCTCAGATGACGATATTTTCCATTCTAGTCCAGTACACACACACACACACACCATGAAAGAGAGAGAAAGGAATTTTGCTTTATTTCTTTATTTTGGCACGGGAACATGATTAAAGGCAGAATGGCGTGACTCACTCCCCCCCCCACAACTGCTGCATCCGATGCTGCTTCAAGCTTGTTTGATCAATGTCGCAGGAAGCGGAGCTTCAGTCCAAACTTCCCACTTTACGCGTATCACACGTGATCCAGTTATATGCAGTATACAAGAACGAACGTGGGATATGAAGAGAATAAGTCAACGTTTTCTACATATGATTGGGCTCACACAATTGATTGTATTCGTGCAGGAATTAAGCCCACGCGGCGACGATTTTACGCACAAATATATGTATAAAGCACTCACTGCTCCGATAGATAGAGAGAAAACCCGATCGGATCATTGCAGCAATAATTGAAATGCTATATTTTTTGCAAAATTCGAGCATCGACAATATTTTTTTCAAAAATCCGATAGATTTCAAAGCGACCCTCAATTTTCGGGCTTTTTCGCGATTTCCGGCAGCAAATTTGACGATGCAAAACATAATTTCCTTCACAAATCACAGATTAGAAAAAATAGGGATTCCACTTGCAAAGGAAAATGAATACACGAAAATACTCCGAACTGCCTTCAACGAAAATTTGCGAATTTGCGTACGTTGAAAACATATGCCCCCACCAGGAAAAGGAATGTACATGTTATAGGGAGTCCAATGATTATGATTTTTATATGTACCTCTCATACTGATAAATAAGTACAGTATGCTTTGCAATGCGTATGAAATTATTGCCCAGGGTGGACGATAGTTGCAATTTGAAGCAATGATCATTGTACAGCACATCATGAATTGCATCAGAAAACTTTTAAAAATTACTCCCTGAAATTGCTTTTCAAGTGTACCATATTTTACTCAAATAAGATGGATTTGACACACAAAAAAAACCTGTCCCTGCATATGAAACACATCCAAGATTTTGCTGGTTTGAATTTTTTTCAATTGTCTAGTTTTGCTAAATAATCATAGTAAATTGAAACAATGTAAGAGGAAAAGTTGGAAATATAATTTCATTTTCATTATTTTCTCCTTCATAGGCCCCTATGACTAATACCACATTTTCATGATTTTTTTCTGTCAAAAAATTCACACCCATCACATACCACACACCCCATTTTTCACTTTTATTTGACATACAAAAAAGGTGTACTTGGTAATCAGATACATATGGGGGGTAATTATAGACTTGTAAGCAAATTCAAAACTTCAATGTTGTTACTTCAGAAAAAAATTATAATCACTGCAAAGAAAATACCACACACTTTCTGGTTTCTGCAAATTTTGCTTCAAAATGTGCACTGTGACAAGACTTGATGATGAATGCACACTCCTCATTTGGACAATCCCAGAAGAAAATATTTTACAAACCTTTATTTACTCGAGCATCATGCGGCTTTGAGTACGACACGGAATTCCGATTTTTAGCTAAAATTTAGGGAAAAAGCTTATCCTAGCATAAGACATTTACTTCCCAGTGGCCAAAATTCCGCTTTGAAAAACTATGTTGGATAAAAATCCAAAGTTAAGCCCAGCTAAAACTAAAATGCAATGCTGATTTTTTGCATAAAAATAATTGCATCATTACAATACAGTAATCGGGAAATTTTGAAACTGGGGAGAAACATATGTCAAGTTTTAAAAAGTTTCACTTCAAATGTTGTACCTGACCATGACACACACCTCATTTTTTTTGCCAAATTTGTTGAAAAAAATTGCGCGTAGTATTTGAGTGAATAAAATATTATTGATTACGAAAATAATCTTATAAAATACGAGAACAACGCGTCCTATTCTCAAATGAAGTCCTGGACGGTGAAAAAAAAAATGAATAAACTTGTTGGAAAATCACAGCAAACTGATAATCTAGCCCCAGCGTCGGGAAAAGTACGGGCTTTGTTGAAACGCTCAGATTGTTTGATGAAAATTCGCCGCCGCAAGAACCGGAACTCGGTTTGCGGCGATCAAGAGATTTCAGCCACGAAAATGCAGCCCAAAGGATCATGGGATGCATTCACCCCCGATTACCATCAGCACACAATACATCCGCAGAACCGATCTCAGGTCGACACCGAAAATCAATGAGGGATATAAAGCTCGGACAAGGAAATTAACCGGGTGAACTCGTGCCTTTCTCCGACAAGATCGGATCCCAATTTGCGCGCTATGTTCTCTTTTTTTCTTCTTTCCGATCGGATTTTATTTTTCTCTCGAAATTCACGACTGACTCCGTTTTCGGCAAGAACTGGAACGTGAGAAAACATTGGAGACACACGAGAAACGCAACAGTTGACTAAACAACGCGGTTGAATGCATTTCAAGCACAGCACAACACAACAAGCACTTGTAAAAATACGGGATCACCTGAACATGGAGCTTCCCGGGGAGCGCATGGGGGAAAATGACGGCGGGTTGTTTCATGCCGCTTGGAAGTATCCGCATCAGAGATGGCTTCGTTTCCACAGCGTTGCCAAACGTTGAAAAAGAGGAAATGTGGTTCACAAACACTGTTGAAGAAGACCACAAACCGGGCAAGTATGCTTAATATCATCAGGAGCATTATATGAATAGGAGATTTACATTCTTGATTATTGAAGCACTTCTCAAAGCAATGCACGGGGGAATTATTTCTGGTACAGTAAAATCACATCACAGTAAAAGATCCTAGAACAAATTGCTGCTTATAATGAATGGAGTTTCCAGTTCCCTGAGCAATTGCCTGAATATTTTTTTTATTTAAAACAAAATACATACTACAAGCTTATAAAAAACATTTTAGCCTAGTCCCATTGCCTTCAATGTAAGAAGATCTCAACATACTGTATAATAAAACATTCCTCAGTTAAAACACAAATGTTATAACAGAACACACTTTTGTAATGCGGAAGGCAAGAGGAAAGTCCTTTCTTCATTTTTTCCTCTGCATTGATCCTAATTTATAAATATTGGTCAGCATTTTTATCCTGGCCCTTGAAGAGAGCAATATTAAATCAATAATATTTTAATTAATATTATTTCACTAATAATATGTATGCTCACAACACAGTACTTGGTCAAAACATGCAGATAAAAGTCATATGTTTCTCTAACAAAAACATCTGATGAGAGGATCTTGTCCCTACAGAAAATTGTAAAGCATGTGACAGTGGCTTACTGTATCTTGAATTCAAAACTTGGGAACTTGAAGAAATGCATTTCTATGTGATGAAAAACGTTTTACAACATCCATTTAATATTTTTTCAAGATCTCTTGTTGAGTCTGCTTACGTGAAATGATAAACAATTCTATACAGTAAAATTTTGGGTAAAACCAGCGAGTATTCAGCATGCAGGCAATGTTGTAATCAGTACAGTATTTAACCTGAAAGCCCTGTATACATGTTTCAGGGATGTTCCTTCACTTTCTGCCACAAATAAATTACGTGACACTGAAACATCCTGAAAATTTTGAAAGACATCATGATGAACTAGCCCAGACACCTGAGTTCAGTCATCAAAGCAATATCACGGATCTCTCTCATCTTGCCATGGCACCTTCATTGTGGCCACGCCGGTTGGTAACACTCCTGCACATTCGCGCCTCCATGTGATGTTGGACTCACAGAATCAGCCCTCCTTCCTCATCTTACCGTGATACCGGTATCCGGGTTCAACAATAGCACACGAATTTCAGCGAATTTCTCCTTTTTTCTGGTCCCAGGTTTCATGGGATGAGGGAATAAGGAATTGCACACAAAGCTTAACTTCACCCTCCTTTAACGCACCCCACCGTGGCGTATGCGGGTGCCGGTGAATTAGATCACAATCTCGTGCTCCTTCCTTTGCGCAAGGTTATCGTCCTTTTTTATCTTCACGAAGCAAATACTTCAGGCCACATATAAAGACTGCAGAAAAGAACTCGGCTCGATGTAATCGATTAGCATGCGTGAAACACTGAAAAAGTCTCTTCAAGAAAGTCTGCGATTGCAACGAGAATCACTATACTCACTGGGATCTTTTGGCGGTGCGCGCAACATAACTCGGTTGAACGTGGGTAACGTCGGAGGACGAGGACCTGAGCACACAGAACAAAATTCACTTCATACACGGTTTCATGTTTAAAGTTCTCAACATTTGACACTAATACCCGTAGGTAGTTTCCGTTGGTGAATTACATCTTCGGCATCAGGAAACGAACGAAAAATCCTTCACTCGCGTGATCGCGCGCGTCTGATTTCGTCGGTAGAGAATTCCTTCGTCAATGAGCTTGCATCAGCTTCTCACGTGCATCTCACTGTATCACAAATGATCATTTTACCGGTACTCTTGAAAAGTTGAGAGAAACTTCGCGCACAGCACACGATAACAATAAACGACCATTCACCGCAGCTTTCTTCTCACAGTAGGGCGTAGATAGCCGTTTAGTCATGTCAGCTTAAAGACCGGAAATTCCCATCAGAAGAGGAAGATTCTCAGGGAATCTGCGCCGTCAACCTCACACTACAGCACATAAACACGCAGCATGTTCTTCCTTAAACACAATAGAATCACACAACGGAACGGTAATCCAAGCTTAATTCACAAGAGCACAGCATTCGGTATAATACTGTACAGTGGACAGTAAGCACAACCGGCATCCTCGTACCTCAAGCGCCGATCGCTTCCCTTTCTCATTAATCAAATTCTCTATTTATAAGTCTTCTGAAATTTAAAGGTTCAAAATAATGATTGATCAGCATTCAGCGATTCTGACAAACGATTGCAGTATTCATTTTATCATACTTTACTGCATGTGATGTTGGGCAGGATGACGTGAATTGGATGATGTTCAATTCACCCGCCTTTCTGGAATAATTGGTACTGGCGTGATGAATGATTGATGGTATTGCAAGTGTACAGAACTTATACCATCAAAAAATCTTCTACTAAAGTATTCAACTGTCCATCAATCTATGTTCGCATGCGGTTTGTTTTAATACTATGACACAAAAGGAATATCTGCCTATTACATTTGGGATTAAACCATGCGATTGTTAATTGAAGCAATTGCCTATTGATGTGCAAGAGTGCTCAATTTTTCTTCTTCAGGCATAATACCGTGGTTATAGCCGCTCAATTGGCATTGGGCAGCCATGCATATATGGGGAGATCAAACTCAAAAATCTTGACAGGATCCAATTCCATATTTTTCCAAATGTTGTATGATGATCCAAACCCTAGGAAGATTTTTCTTTGAATGCATAGTACTATTGAAAATTAATCAAATGAGACAGCTGCAATAGAGAGGACTTCATTCCTTATTTTAATCAATGCTTAATAAAATATTTTCTGAAATCCCAATTTACGCTCAAACTTGTGAGCTGGAGATTAACTACGTGGCTCCCTGAAGCAGAAATGCTGTTAATGCTGTTCTGGATAGGGCTTTATAAAATAAAGTCCATGAACCATTATACTTGTCTGTTTCCTGAAAAACCCAGAGTTGTTTCTCCACAGGAAGTGTGGCCCATGTCAGATTAATTTTCAAGGTATGAAAGCTGTATGTATAAATATTCCTGATATTTCCTTCAGATTATTCAAGTCAGGGACTTTGTAAGATAAAAAAGAAGCCATTATAAAGTATGTAATCTTATAAAGCCTATCATATCATATGGACCTTGATAATTCAAACCTCCTGGTACAATTTTGTTCAGTCCCTTTCTGAATTCCCTTGATAACAATGTAATATGGTCCTATTTAACTCAAAGGCATTATTCCCCTGCAAACCTCTATAAATCAAATTTTCTGGAAGCTTTTTTGCTATTATACTGGATTTCCAGGATAAAGAAAACAATGAACATGCAGCAGCTTGTTGCTGTTTGAAAGGAAGTGAGTGTCTATTGGGGCAAATCAACTCTTGCCCTCAGCTGTCAACTCATTTACAAAGCAGTTCAACACCCAGAAGATCATAAATTTTATATTCCTGTAATTCTTTATTTTCTGATGAAAATACTAGTTCCCCTATGCAGTACATGAAAACCCTACATGAGAGCCCTTTGATTGTTTGAACTTGAAGGGGTTCAACTACTGCACCTATACTTAATAGGCTTTTTGATAATGGACTTTCAACTGAAGGATATGATACTCATGCTGACATAACTACACAAAAATATGGTTTAAATCCTGCTTCATGCTTGAAGATATCATGAAAGTAATTGAAGAAATTCATTTTTATGCTGAAAAGTGTGTTGGCTAGTTTTCAAGGTTGTGCATGCTTTTTATTGTACAGTAGAATCTCATCACAGAAAATCTTATACTGTAACACCAAATCTATATGCTTACTGAATCAAAACAAATTTGTTTTTTGGATCCAGCAATAGCCATACGGTTACTTTAAATTTGTTGAAACCATTTTTGGTTTATACAATGAACCTTTTTCAAGGCCCTGATGCATGCTTATTTGTTCAAACTACAGTTTAACCTTCCTAAGTTGAATATGCCTCCCTATAAGTTGCATTTTTTTCAAGAACCCATCAGAAATCCCTCAAAAAGAATGTACTAAAAACCTCTCAAACTCAAAGTCTTTTTCTCTCAAACCACCATCAGTCAAATTTCCTGCAGCCTTTTGGCTATCATTTTCTTGATACATATAAAAGAGAAAGGCAATAAAATAAGTAACTTAATGCGTTTTAAACAAAGCGACAGACTAATTGGGCAAATGAACTATTGCCTCCAAGTTCAGCATACTGTAAACTTATTAAAGAAGTAATTCCTAAGACTTAGAATATCACCATTTACAATTTTCTGCAATTCTTTTATATTTTCCCAAAAAAAAACGCTTGTGTCCCTAATGTGAAACCTTCCTAAATGGAAACCTCTCTAAGTCAAAACCTCTTCAAGTTCAATTTCTTTGCTGGTCCCTTGAAATTTGACTTGAAGAGGTTCAATTGTATCATTCCACCATACAATACCTGAACTTTTCAAATTTGTTTTCCTTTTCAAGGCAGAAGGATAATGAATGCATATCTGATGAAGTTTTATTCATAAACCTGGCAACTTTGAAATCCAGGGAATAAATAAGTGGGAATCAACATTTTTAAAATCACCTGCGCATGCTGGCAACACTCTCATAATCATACCTCGTAGCCCAAGGGAAGTCTATTCGCAGGAGAACTTCCTCTCATTTGACAGGTTAAGCATCACTGTACTACGGCATAGTTTGACTGAATAGTATTGAAGAATACTGTATTCATTGCATACAGGACTAGGTGCTGTACTGTACTCTACATAGTGAGGGGTGAGTCGTGTTAAGGGGAAGCAGGAGAATAATGGGTCTTGGTGGGGCGGCACGTGATGTGCACCAACCATGTCGTCGTCGTCATGCTACAGTTACCATGACGACTTCCATGGCACGACCACTACTATATACAGTACACTACATAGAACATACACACACACAGACACACGCAGTATATTATAGAGTCAGGATCGCGGTTTATGCGCAGAAGCTTTGCGTCCGGAGGAATATCGTGAAAATTACTCTCGTCGCCGGAAGTTGTATTCGCTCATCATCGTCGTCGCACCACTCGCTATATATTAACCGTTCTTCCCGAGTTCTTTCGCCCCAGGAAGACGGCATACTTTCAACGCCGGGCACAGAGCATTCCGGAGAACAAGTAGAGCGAAGTAAGTTTTTCGCCTGCTAGCCGTTGATTCGGAGAAGGTGCATAAGGTGGGCGAAATGTACGTACATCAGCAGCGGGGATGAGACGCGTGTATCGATGGCTATAATAGTTTCCAATTAATTGCCAAAATTGCGTGGAAAATAACTGTCAAATTGTTTGCCGTTATGCGTGTGTTAGGAAAGGCAGAGTGAACTGATGATGATGATGATGGAGAAGGTGGATTCTCATTAGTGTCGGCTGTAATGCAGAAGACATACAGGTGGACTCTCTGTCTCTACAACAAAACTCAAGGGACCAGAAAAACGTTCCCTGTAGAGAGAATTTTGTCAGAGAGAACCGCTTTCAACATATGGGGATGAAAAAAAATTATTATGCTGATGAAATTGTTGTAGAAAAGATCATTTATTGAAGAGAGCACTCACCTGCACATATTTATATTCTTTAATAAATGTTGCTGAATGCTGATGGTGTATATTTAACCCTTGTGTGGCAAAATTGGAATATTTTTGAAATTTTTGGAGCCACTGACCTCTGGAAATTAAAAAACCCCTATGTTTGCACCAAGGCGTAAGTCAGGAAAACATTAGATATTTTTTCTAATCCTGCAGAAAATTTTGGCTCAGAAATAAAAATCCCACACTGGGTGGCATTTTTTCCTGCATTCCTGGCATAATCTTGGAGATTCTTGAAAACAATGGAAACTTGACTCCTGGATCTTCCCAACTTAGGCCTTCCCAACCTTGGAGCATTTCTATGACCTTTGGTCAAACTGAAATGTGCTGCCCACCAAATAAATCCTGACTCTATTGTGTGATGGAAAGGACAGCTGTCCAAGGGTTAAAATACTGTATAAGGCTTCTATCTTGGCTTTTAATAGAGACCAGCTTCTGCAATTGAACATTGATAACTCAAACATCAAGTCAAATGCCTGTGTACGTTGATTATTTTCTTGTCACAGAAAAGAAAATAGCAATAAAAAAGTAAATGTATGTGCTTTGAAAGGAACTTAGAGACAAATTGGGCAAATTTAACCCTTGCCTCCAAGTTCAGCTTTCCATCAACTCAATCAAGAATCAATTTTAGTCTCAGAATATCATTTACTATTGTTCTTCCATCTTACCCACACAAAAAGTGCTTGTTTCCTTACTGAAAATCTTCCTGCTGACTAGACTTTTTTGATAGTCCCTTGAAATGTATTTGACTTGAAAAGGTTCAACTGTACAGGAGACTGGCACCATTATTCAAAACAGTTCAGACAGCTGAATCAAGTGAAAAGAAAGAAAAACTTGAGTGAACAATCTGAATACCCCTTTGATTGAGACTTTTTCTTGGAAATGACACAGGAATTTATGGTAGGAAAGGGTTTTTTAAGGGATTATTTCTTAAATTTTTTTTCAAAACCACAGAGCTTTTTGTTCAAGGAATGTTTGAATGATATTTTTAAAATGAATATGTTGAACACGAGTTTCCTTAAAGAAATAGTTCAATAAAATTCCCAGTGAAATTTCACATTCCAAAATTTTTGAACTTTCAAAAATGCTTTCCACTATTATCCCAAATGTGAAAAGTTTTTCCTTTAATTACTCCATGTAAAATACATATAAGTTACCTTCAAATTTCTATAACTGAAATTCAAAGGACCAATAAAAATCCAATTCAAATGTTGGTGGATGGAGTTCAAATTGTGTAGGTTAATCAAGCAAAAGTAAAATCCTGTCAAGTAAACAAAACTATATTTCCAAGACGTCCCACCAACAAAGATTTTCCTGTATTGTCCTTTGAAAATGCATTGCGAAGCAATTTTGGCATGTGTTCTTTTTTAAACAGATGTTCTAAATTTTGGACAAAACTCTTGGGACCGAAATTCCTTCGAAATTCGTCCGATAACTTTTTCACAACGAAGTCTAGTGGCGTATACGGATATGCTGAAAAATATGTTTGCCAACTTTACCTAGATGTCACTAACTCGACAGCGAAAAAGGAAACGGGCCCCTTTCATACGATTCATCACGCGCGACATCTTCAAAAATATCAAATGTTGTTTTACGTTGATCGCATAGATGTCACTTTTTCAGAAGCACAAAAAGGACATTAGGCACACGTTCCACAAGCACCCTCAGTACATCTACTTTCACCAGCATTACCACATTTCGATCATCTGTCAAATAGGACCTAAACTAGACCGGAATACATTTTTCATTGATCTAATATTGTACTACATGAAGATTTAAATGCAGCCCACTGGACAGTTGCTCAATCTGGATTTTTAAGTCCCTGCTGAATAGAGTTTTTAATTATCGAGGGATTACAGCAGTATCGTCAATTTTCTATGCCTGATGCTTGGGGCCTGCTTTCTGTTCAAGGTTGACAAATTTAAAATATACGTGTGTTCACAAAAGTACCGCAGAAACGTTCCCCTCCAGATAGGAAATTGGAACATAAAATCCTCGAATTCGAGGAAAAATCGAAACTTACAATTGATGCCAAAATTAATTTTTCAACAACATAAACCCGTCGTGCCTTATTCAGGGAAAAAATTGTGCCACAATTCAATGGAATATTTGAGATTCACATTCCACAAAAATACATGTAAGTTCATGTGCGCAAGTGCTGGAGATTATTTAAAATCATTTCAACTTAAGTTACAGGTTTTCAAAATCAGGATTGATTTAAAATCAAAAAGGAAAATTCGAAATCAATCGAAGACGTCAAAATCACTTTATTACAAATTCCCATGAAACTTGTCACATCGATATACGCTCTTATAAAACGCTTTGAAATATATATTCTCAGAATAAAATAAATCTACATTCAATATTTATGCGCGAAAACTCTTCGCATTTCTGAAAACTTGTGGTTATAAGAAAAAAATCTTATAACCCATATAACAACTTGACAAAATAATACTGCAGGACTCCTACGAGAAGCACTTAAATAGACATCAAACCAATTAACATATTTGATATACTTACATTACATACAAGCTCAATCTTGCATCGAAATTTTTTATTTATATTTTAAACCCAACGAAAGTGTCCTGAAGTTACCTGCGGCCTACGGAAGAACTTAAACGTTCAATAAATGTATACTGTACATACTGTATATTGTATTTTTTTTATTTTCGATACTGAATTGGTATGAAAACAGAAGGAAGAATTTTTTGCAGAAAAATTTGGAAGAGAATTTCGAAAATGTATTGTCAAAAAATTATTGTCACGCGCAGAAAATCAGTTCGCGTCTCATGAGCCAATTTCATTCGACGAAGTTTTTGAGATCATAGAAAAATCCCAATCGTCTGCGGGATTCAAAATTTGAAACATTCAAAATCCGTCGTTTGTTATTAGTTCGATTGACTCAGCATTCGTTTCGTTTCAAATTCCGTTTGTCATAAGTGTTCTTCCGATGAGATTCATCTCTCGCGGTACGTGAATGAATGACGTCAATCCGTTTCCCTGATCGCAAACCGAAACCCTTCAGTACTTCACGTCATCGTCGATCTTCTTGTAGTCCGCATTGCAAGTACAGGGATCCGTCAAACAACAGCGGTCCTTTTTGAGCTTGGATTCGAGAAACTTGAAAACTTCGCCGTCTTCCACACGAGCGGCGGCACAAAGATTCGATGCACTGCCCTTCCTGTATAAAACCAGATGAGAGGTTGGATTCACGAGCGACATCTCTGTGAAACTTTGTTAATCAAGGAATCAGCGTTCAACGGAACCGCCGCATCACAGTTGTAAGGGGTTCCTTTGATCATTAGGCCTCGAAGTGAAGCGGGAAATCGGTGTCAGCAAGACTTCCGCAACTTGGTTCAAGGATTATCTCATTCATGAATAATGTGTCAACTCGTCAGAAATGTCAAATCATCCAAAGATGTTTGTGTTCATAAACCTCCCAATTCGCTAATGTGATCATGACATGTCAGTCCCTTTCGTCTACGATTAGGATGATTATCATCTTTCAGTGAGATCCTGCGAATCGTGTTTTCAGTGAACATCGTGAAACATTCACCAACCTGCTTAAAGGACCCCGATTGATGGTTTCGCCGATTGACTCAACATTGTTGATCAGGTGCATCGGGAAGCTCAAGCGTGATAAACGATTATCCTCGCTGGTTTCCACGGATTGCTTCCTGCGTCTCAGAACACCTGCGTTGACGAAAAATTCAAGTTTATACGGGCTTATAGTGTCATAACAACCTAAGAAGTTTTTAAAAATACAGTATCATCTAAAATGACTAACTGGCAGTGGAGGGCTTCATTCTCATTGGGAGTGTTCCGAATTGGTCTTCCTGGTAAGGTCCTTCGCCGTAAGATACTGCCGGGTAAGCCTCCTCTTTGTGCTTCACGATGTCAGCTCCTTTTGATATGTAAGAAAGTACGTGCGTGTGTTGAATTTTTCAAACATTTCTCTAGGTTTTCTGCAGGTTGTCAGGAGAACTGCGCCCACGACCCAATATATTGTTGTAGAGCATCCGATCATTTTCATTAAAACGTCACCTAATTTTTGTTCTCTCATGCGTAATATGTCGAAAGTCGATGGAAACGAGCCTTCTACTCAAGTAAATCCCGCAGGCTTTCAACGAACGTGCAACCAAAGACAAGGTACAATAAGCATCCGGTATGAAAGCTATAGGGGAAATCATCCATACCAATTGAAAATGCGATCGCAATAAATCAGTATAATTCATTTCATGCGGAGCGTTAATCGAAGTGAACGAAGTTTTACTTGTAGCCCAATTCCGAAAAAGTGTCGTACGTGCGAGACAGAAAAGTTAGTATAATTTTCTCGAATACCCCTTTTAACAATTGCTTCGGTATTTACCATTCGCAGCAGTTACAAGTTACTTGTCTTCCATAACGCGTACAAGATCCGAAATTTCGATTGTGGAAGCAATCACTCACCCCTGTATTCCGAGTCAAGTGGCACACGGAGCACTCCGAACAAACGTAGGACAGAAAACAGCAAACCGCTCATCGCCATGCTCCATATAGTGATGCAAAATCCAGCCACGATGTTCCATTTAAGCATCTTTCAGAAGGATCAACGAAATCTCGATGGAATTGACTCACGGGAACGTCTAAAAATACTGATGAAACCAGCACTCACCGACGGGTTTCCGGAATAAAAGAGACCGTGCTTAGAGAGCAAACCCGCGCTTATCAACCCCCACCAACCTCCTCCGAAATGCACCGCAACACAGTCCAACGGGTCGTCAATGACTATCAAATAAAGACACGAGCAAAAATATCTTCGTGATGAACTCAAAGTGCTGGAGCAGTTTCACTCACGTTTGTATTTCGTGGTCAGTCGGCGGATTCCGAGGAATATGAAAGCTGCCACTGCACCCACCAAAACGGCTCCCCACGGCCTTATAGTGTCGCACCCAGAACAACTTGCAACCTTTCCATTGAAATTTCGTTTTTTTTTGAAATTAATACCAAGTTTCATTGAGTAAGGACAGTGATGAATCACCATTGCGATAAAAGCCGTGTTGATTGTCATGAGGAGACTCCACGACTCTTCCTCGATGTTACGGTTGACGAAGAGTCCCATGCGGAAAAGGAACAAGCCGGTCAGGCCACCAGCAGATGCACACAGCATAGTGCAAACGACAGTATTAGCAATGATCACACCATCCCCAGGATGAGACAAGTGTCCTTGTGAAACGCAGTTGAATCCCAAAAATCCTAATGTCAGGATGAAACCTCCCAGAGCAGCCAACTGTAAAAGAAAAAAAAAACATATGCATGTCGATATTTAAAAAGTTCATCTCTATATTATTGATCGTCATATTCTGAAACTTCAAGATTTTCAATGTTCGAGAATAGTAAAAAAAAAATGCAACTTGGCGTTGCAGACAATCCGCAGGATAAGCAGACCGCCCGAAAACCCCCCACTACAACACAGAAAAACTTTAGGTCCCACCGAGATTCGAACTCGGATTGTTGGATTCAGAGTCCAAAGTGCTGACCATTACACCATGGGACCCTGCTGATTTTTCGGTGCCGACAATTCCACATTTCAATACAAATCCTCACACTATACCTCTCAAGGACCTTAGGTATGCATAATCTTGGAATTCAAGAATGCATCCCCGGGTGTTCCAAAAGTAAATTTTTTGTGGACGAAGAGTTACGAATATAGTACAATACAGTCTATTCATTCAACGGCCCCAAAAGGATATGCCTAAATTTTCTGCGGAACTGCAGAAGTATCATTAATATCCTGGGTACTTTCTGAGATCTTGAAAATGCTGAAAATTCTTCTCCTCTTAAATTCCTGAATGATTTCAGCAAACAATCACATCCACAGTACAAGATCAGGCGATTATCTATAAATATTGTCAAAAACTTGATACAATACAGCGTTATACATTTCCACGGGTCTTATTTCTTGAAATTTTCTTTGATCATTCCAGAACAGAACTGTTTGACGCATCATTATAACATTTTCTGGACAAAAATTTACAGCTACCACGTCTTAACAGAATAAGATAAGGGTTCCCCCCAAAAAAATATGATCTTCCATCAAAGATTTTTATTGAAATATACTGTGTCAACCCCCGTCTAACAGACTTGATTCATGCAAGGGGCAAGTCTGTTAGACAAAAAGTCCTTAACACAAATTCAATTACATAAAAAATTAAAAATTTCAATTTTCAACACTAATTTTAAACCAAAAGAAGTCTGTTTGGTGGATTTTGTCTGTTGGGCGGGAGGAAAAACTGCTTGCAGAGCTGGTCTGTTCAGCAAAAATCCCTTACACGGGAGGTCTGTTAGGCGGGGGCCACTGTACACTGATTTTCTTTAAATTAAAATTCAATGTATTATCTGCTTCCTTTTCCTTCACAGGCTAAAGGAAGAAAAAATTGTGAAGTTTTTTCTACATTAGCAGTCAATTGCCAAGGGAACAATGAAAATGTTATTAAAATAAATCTATTGTTCGTCATTAATGATCACAACAAATTTAATTAATTTGCTCATTTAATTTGTTCATTACTGCATTTCCTTCACATTTTTTGTAGAGATCTCTGGACATTTGTGTTGTTTTGAATAATTTGTTAGAACATGGGGTCAATGGGGTCTAAGTTGAGAAATGCCCCCACCAATGTGTAGTACTGTACAGTACTTTCCATTCCGGAATTGCAGTACAATACTGTACATGGTCTTGAAAAAATTTCATTTTCCACTATATACCTGCTTGTAAAAAGGAATCCAGCTTAAAAATGATTTCAGCAGCAAAAACAAAAAAAGAGTTGTTCCAAAGAAAATTAATAACATTTCTGCCAAAAAAAAAACAATTCTGCTGAAAAATATTGTGCTTTGTGTTCCAAAACCCAAATCTCACTCAGATATACTGTACCCTGATGTAGTCCCCAGACAAGACACTTTTTCAACTCGGCATACCTTCCCGTCAGTTATGCCAGGTAACCTGACTCCAACCAGGCACATGGTACAGTAAAAGCATATGCAGCAGTCAAATGTGCCCGCGGACACGTCAACCCCTTCAGTGACAGCTGGGTGAGGGGGGGAGGGAGGGGCCTGCTGTGATTGGGGAATGGCATTCGAGGGAGAGAGTCACTAACCGGCGTGGAATGTCCGCGGATGACGCGGCGTCTGCCAGTGACCGGGTTCAGCAGATCTGACCTTGGGCCGAGTATGAGACAGGTCATCAAGGCACACGCACCGCCCGGTAAGTGAATAACACCACTGCCACCAAAATCTCGAAAGGGTGTGTCCACTAGCCAGCCGTCTGGTGACCACGCCCAATGCGCCACCGTTGGGTAAATGAATCCTGCAAGATTGTCCACAACATTCTTTTTTATACACCAGTAACACCACCAAGAGGTGAAGTCATACTTCAGAACAGTCTTCCCCAACCATTTTGGGCTCACAGACCAGAGCATTTCCAAAATACATTCTGTTGACTGGCAAGGTTTCATAAAATTGTTGCACACTTAAACAGTTTTGTTGGACAGACTTTATGGAAGGTACAGTCAAACCCAGTCAAGACACCCCCTGATAAAGCGCCACCCTTGGCAACTGCCAACATTTTGACTGAAACAAATCTCCTCCATGTTAAATGCCATAGAAAACCTCCATAAGATGCCAACCACCATCTGCCAGCATTAGTGATGAAACAAAAGGCCTTTTGGCATCAGTTTAGTCTTTGTTACAACGCCAACATGGATTATTATGAATTATAATTCCTGTCAAAGAATTTGTATTTGTAAGAAGTAGAAAATTAAATTGTTCTTTTTTATTAAAATTTGAATAAATGTATGCAGAAAAATTCCTTTTTGGAAAGATTGATCCAATAATCACAGCAATACTCTTTGGAAGATTACTGAAATTTTTAGAAAATGCTGTATTTCTATTACTTTTGGAGGAAAATCGAGTATCTGCAATTACAACAATTTAAAATGAAATATCTGATAGACCACCAACCCCTTTAAACAGCCAAAATTGCTCTGGGCAAATGGTGGTGTCTTATTAGGGTTTGACTGTATTTAAAAATTTCTGATTTTTGCAAAAATTAAGTTAAGAACCAATGAAGAAGCTATATAGTGGAATATCTTTACAAAAATTACAAAGGTTTCTCAGAATGTAAAAAAAATTTTTGGCAGGTGAAAATTTTTCACATGATGAAATACTACAAAAAAGCCTGCTTTTATCTTTTCATCAGATAATTTCAACTGCCATTTTCTTTCCAAAATTTCAGATAATGAGAAGATTTTACTGATTATTTTAAAATGCTGCAGAAAATTCACTGTAGGCGCCTGAAAAAGCTTTTGTGGACTGGTGCAAGTCTGTGGACCACAGATGGGGAAACACTGGTACAAAATATGCACTGAATAATGAGAGTTCCAATGTTACCAATAATACAAAAAAGGAAATTAAACATGCATCCACCATAAGAAACAAAATGGCTATATACAATACTGTACCAATATACTGCATAGGTTTACATGAATGTTATCTGCCTTTCTCAAAGTTTTTGAACCAATGAGGCATATTGCAGCATGTAATAGTCACTTACAATACTTAGTTTCAATGAGCTATATACAAGACATACAGTATAAGCCTGTTATTTCAATGGACAAGTTTGTTATCCACAGAATATGAGCATGAGAAACTTGATGCAACATTAAAATTATTGCACAGTACTCTTCATACATATTTTTGTGAAATATGTAATGCTTTTTCAGAAAGGTAAAATACAGGTGGACTCTCTACTTGTGATCTTGTCTACAACAATTTTCTCTGCATGGAAACATTTTTTGTTGGTCCCAGCATCAAGTTCTGTCCCCATATTTCATCTACAACAAATGTTTCTGGACATTTGAATTTTTTGTAAAGAGAGTCCACTTGTAGCAAGTTCTTCATATCTTATGGGACAGTATATGTCTCAATAGGAAGTCTGTTTCCCAAAGAATCCTTGTAAAAATCTGATCAAAACTAAGCATTGCTTGCAACTTCAATTTAATTTTTACACATATAGGCATCCTTAGGATACAATCTTATACATTGAAATAATAATAAGCAGACTTAGTCTTGTCCTGATGAAGTGAATAGGATGAAGGCTTTTACCTTTCTATATTTACTGTCAATATATGGCTACATCATGTTCAAGGATTTCATGTCGGTGATGTTATTATCATCACATTTATGATATATTTCAAATCACTGACCTGAGATCACGGATGAATATGCCAAATATGCGATGAAGCTCACACGCTCAGCCACAGAGCCAGAAACAATTGACGCCGACGTGGATGTGAAGCAAAATTGGTAGAAAAATTTGGAAAAATCCTCAGGTGTTGATTTCGAATATCCGAAATTAGTCAATCCGATGAACTTGTTCCCACTCTCATAGGAGAAAGCTCGCCCAAAAAGGAAAAATGTCATCCCCGCAATGACTGCAGAAAAAAAAATACACAATCAGAAGTCAGACGAACCAATGAGGGGCAAAAATGGCAACTCGTTGGTGATGTTGAATTGTAAATTTTTTTTTGCCATCAATGTCACATTTCAATTGCATGATGATGCGCTAACTTTAATCTGAGCAATACGCCAAAAATGACGCTTAGGTTGTTAGAAGACAAATAAAAAATATTAATTATGGGCGTGTTATTTGAGGCTGCATTTTTTCCATCAAGGATATTGAGAAAACAAAGAAATTTCAAATGACAACAAACATATACTAGATTTAAAAGACATATGCAAATTCATCATCATACATTTCCATGGTAATTTGAAAACTAATTGTAAATTAGCACATTTAGAAAAAAGAATAAAGGTGGTACCTTGCAATTTGGTCCTAATCCAATGCCAAACTAGGATCAAATTGCAAGACACTCCCTGAAATTCAAAAATTTAAACGCAGAAATGCAAAAAAATAGCCAAAGCTGGCCAAACTGCAGGGAAAAGGTCAAATTTGACCGTTGAATTGCGGGATGGTCAAATTGCAAGGTACCACCTGTATTAAAAAAGTGACATCTGTAAATATGTTTTTAATACAGTCAACCCTCAGTTAATTTTCCGTTTGCTGAATGTTTTTTCACTTGACATTCCCGGTCGTGTGAGAAAAATCCCCTTGCTTTATGTTCTGAAATTTGCTCAACGTTTTGCAGTTGTGCGGCACCAGGTGATCAATGTGGATGCCTCCATCCTGTACATTTTCTTGAATGTGTAACTTTTTCCACAGCTTTAAATGTGTTTCCTGTGTGGTGGTGTGGTGTTAAAATTATCTCATGAACAATTGCAGTGTCACACGCTGAATTTTGGGTAACACTTAGACCTTTCCTTGTTTAAAATGAATCTCTGATTTCAATTGAGTGAAGAACTGTGGTTACTTTTTGAATGTAATGGCAGTAATTTTATGAACAATTGCAGTGTCACACACTGAATTTTGGGTAACACTTAGACCTTTCCTTGTTTAAAATGAATCTCTGATTTCAATTGAGTGAAGAACTGTGGTTACTTTTTGAATGTAATGGCAGTCCATAAAGCTCAGTTGTTGGAATACACTCTTTGATTAATTTTTTCTGAATTTTACCTTTAGAAAATTTTGCCTGACACCAATTAAACATTTCTCCCTTATATCTTAAGGGAGAGACTACCTTGCTTGACATTTTTTTCAGCTAACGTTTTTTCCTGCTGCACCAACTAAAAACATTAAGCAATGGTTGACTAAAGATAATATTGTTGCAGAAAACCCCTATAGCATGAGGACAGAACTCTATGGGACCAATAAAAAATGTGTATACAGGATATGGACAAATTGAGACAGACAATCTGAGATTAGAAAAATGGAGACGGAAAATTTGAGACCAGGCCAATTTGAGACAAAATTCAAGACAAGGACAATTTGAGACTAGGACAACTTGAGACACAGACAATTTGAGACAGGGACAATTTTGGACAGGGACAAATTGAGATAAAAACTATCTGCATGAGGCAAGGAATCTGCTTAGGTTGGTTCAAACTTCAAAGATTTGAGTTTTTCCATGATGAGGAAAACTCAATTGACTGTGATGATGGACAAAAAGGAGAGATACCCTGGGATCATGGACTTTTCACCAAACACTGCATATTTTGTTCATTTTCCCACCTTAAACATAAGATAATACGGAGAAACACAATCAAGTCATTTTGTCTCAATTTGTCCATGTCTCAAGTACAGTAGTCTCAGCCTCAAATTGTCCTTGTCTCCAAAATTTTCTGTCTCAAATTGTCCTTGTCACCAAGATACTTTTTATTGCTTTTCTCTTTCCTATGTCAATAAAATAATACTACAAACGCTTAAGAAAATTTGATTTATGGATGTTTGTAAGTAAATTCCTTTGAGTCCTTGTTTTTAACCCGGCCTTTTGCAACATAGCAAAACTTCTTTGCAGATTTTGCATACACTAAAGAAAGACATTTACAAACACCATGACGCTGTTTACCAGGCAAAGTCAGGAAAAATCCTGGCATTTTTTAATTTCCATAGAAAAATTGTACTCAGAAATGAAAAAATTACATCTTCAAAGCTAACTTTTTTCCTTTGGCCTTCTGTTGTTGCCCCATTAACCCTTGTGAGGCAAAGTCAGACTATTCTTGCGAAATTTTGTGGCACCTTGGAGAGGTTTGGAAAAAATGATAACAGGTGGTCAAGGGCTAAGTCAGGAAAAATCCTGATGCTTTTTTCTCTGAGCACAGAAAAATTTTGAGGGCAAAAAAAAAATATTCTCAGTTAGGGTACAGGCTTTTTTTTTGGATTAATCCCAACTTAGCCTCAGCCCACCTGGAAGGGTTTTGGTGACCTTCCCAAAACTGAAAACGCGGGAGGATACAAAAATAATCCAACTCTGTCCCACTATGGGAAAGAACCATCCGCCGTCCAAGGGTTAAAAGATTAAATTCAAGCTTTAAATGCCAAGAGCCCAGGTTGGAGGTCACTTCAGAAAAAGTCCAACTTAGGACTTCCTTGGCCTTTCTGATTAATCCCTGGATAAAATCTGACTTTGCCTTTCTCCACCTGGCAGGGCTTCCATAACCTTGGATAAAAATTAAATTCAGGCCCAACCAAAAAAAGTCTGCCTTGCTGCCCTGGGATGGAATGGAGGCTGCCACCATCCAAGGGTTCATGCATTGTTTCTAAGGGAATTCAGATAGGACTTCAGAAAAAATTGACTTTGGAAGTACAATACTGTATTCAAATTGGGCAGGGTTGAGGTATCCAGGTTCAACTGTATGTTATTGACTGCCCAAGTCACTATTCATAGGGCAATAGTCATCAGTGACACACTTCTAAAACTCTATGAGCCTTTTCTTATGCATTTTTATTTTTGGGCATGTGCTCATTTGCTTTTAAGCTTTTGAATTTATTCTTTGGATTAGCATATGCACCCAGCTTTAATTTATTTAAAAAAAAAACCCTAAATTAAAAAGGTAAATCTCATGATAAACTGCGCATGCGCACCTGTATGAATTCGGATGTGTCCCTTGAGCTGACCGTTGTTGCTGAACGCTGCCTGGCAATGTTCACAAATGAACTTTTTCGGTCTGTGTCTCTTGGCCAACCACCGACTCACGTCACTGGAGCTCAACAGACCCAATTGATGCAACGCCGCCACATCCGGCGGCAACGCGTTGTTCCGCCCTCCGCCGCCTCCTCCTCCTCCTCCTCCTCCGACACCCGACAAATCCACCACTAAACCCGCCGCCTCCGAATCATGATTGCTGCTTCTCCGGATGTAGTCCGGCAACAAGCTGGTGGTTGTTGACGAAGAACTGGATTTATTATCTTGCTGATTCTGTCGGTGCTGATGCTGACTAATGTGATGATTGCCGCTCAATTGCACGCACAGGGTTTGCAGCTTTTCGAGGCTGGCGTCGGTGCTGGGTGTCGAGTGGGCGGGCGGCGGCGGTGGTGGCGGTGTACCACTACCACTGCGGCACCCTCCGCCGCTACTTACGCAGGTCCCCGCCTTCTGCAGGTGCCTTGGGGACCCAAAGAGCAAACCGCCTCTAAATAAGCGCAAAGACCACCTAACGGCGCTCGAGTATGCTGTCATTATCCCCGAATTATTCTCGCGATTTCCCCGCCAGGAAAGATAATGATATTTCCTGTCAATAAATTTAAAAAAAACAACAGTCAAACAATTTTTGTTAAGCAGGATAAAACAAAATTTGAGACATGCTGTAGTGTAGGGTTTATTTTCTGCGCGTAGTCCAAAAATTTATGAACTCGATTTGTTGACGGATAATAATAATAAAGACCTCGCATGAGGTATTTTGGAAAAATGAACGCTGGCTGCTGCCATTTGTGATTCGGATTATGACCCCTGCTTCAAATATAATAGACTGAATAAAATTTGCTTTCCTTTCAGAGTTTTTGAGGGCAATGTGGCTGTTTGCATTATTTCTTTCAAGGCAATGCGCGTTATTTTGCAACATTCTTGACTGCTGAGCTGTTCATTGCTTCCTCAGTTTCTGAGCACGTTTCTTGTAAAGTCTTGATTTCTTGCAAATTACTTTCAAACTAGGGACAACAGTTTATAATGTCTTTACGTCAGGTAGGAAGAGTAATTGCGTTTAATTAGGATTTGTCAGAAGCTAGACCTGCTTCTGGAATAAAAAATCTAAAAAATTGAAACCGAAATTCGAATTGCAACTGCTTATCTTCTAAAGACCAGTGTTCCCAACCATTTTGGTCCTGCAGACTGGAAAATTTCTCACAAAAAAATGTCTGTGAACTGGCAAAGTTTTATGAAATTTTTTAAGGACCAGCAAATTTTCATAAAATGTTTGCATGCTCAAAAAAATGTTGCTTGAAAGACAGCTTGAATGACAGGTATTCAAAAAGCTTCTGCTTTTTTTTTGCAAAATTAATTCAGGATCCAATGAAAAAGCTACAGTGGAATGTCTTCAAAATTGAAAAGGTGGTCTTGAAGAAAGGTTTTTCAGACTCAAAAATTAAAATAATTTATTAAATCAGGTGAAAATTTGTCTGAAGTATTATTAGGACGAAAAACAAGATATACTCTTTGTGAGATAATTTTAACTGACATTGTCTTAACAAAATTCAAAATAAAGCTATACAGTATGTAATGTCCTTCATTGCTACTTATTGTGAAAAATGCATTAGCCTGGATAAATTTCCCACAGACTGGTGCTGGTCCATGGACCACAAGATGGGAACTTTTTTCCAGAGAATCTAGACCAATTTATTATATAAGTATTTACTTGAATTTGTTTGGCCTGAAATACTTGCCAAAAGCCAAAATTAGACAGAGAATGTGTTAACTGGTATATGAGGCCAGCCCAATTTTTTTGGTTTAATTTTTCGTTATGAAAAAAGTTCATTTTTGTTACTTGCGGAAATACAATATAGCATGTTTTGTGGCAAAACTCGTTATTTTGAGAATAAACACGTTCTGCTATACACCAGGAACATTTATATAAAGCAATTTCTGACCGTAGAATCTCATTTAAAAAAAATCAATTCAAGAAAAATCAACCTTGCGGCATTTAGCAAATCATTTTTGAGGTTCATGGATTGCAGATACAAATATTTTTTTAAAGATTACAGGTACAGTATCTGTGATCTTATTTTATGCTGAAAGATATTTTCATTGAAACTAAAGCAGCTTCCAAATCTAAACTATACAGTTTTACCTTGACAAGTCAAACCTCCTCAAGTCAAATACCTCCATAAGTCGAAATTGTTTCCAAGTCCCAGCAGTCTGAATTCCCTTAGAAACCATTAATTAATAAAACCTTCCTACCTTGTCAAAGGCTTTTCCTCTCAAACCTGCATAATTTGAATTTTCTGAAGTCTTTTGGATATTTTTTTTTCGACAGATGAGAGATAAAAGCAATAAAGTAAGCAACTTTTCCTCCCTTTAAAAGTTAAAGCCCTTTAAAAGGAAATGAAAGACTATTTGAGCAAATAAACCCGTGCCTCCAAGTTCAGCAATGTGCCTCTCAACTCATTCAAGAAGCAATTTAAGGCCCAGAATACCATAATTTGCAATTTTCTGCAATTCTTTTATCTCTTCCACAACAAAAATGTTGATTTCTCGAACTCAGAAGTCAGAAACTCCCTATAAATGGAAGCCTTCACATGTAAGTTGAAACCTCCATAAGTCAATGTTGTTGTTGGTCCCTCGAAATTTAATTTAGCAACGCTTGACTGTATAAATATGACTCTGATGCAGCAAGATTTTACTGCATTCAAATTTGCAACCTTTAGATATTGTACTTATGAAATTACTCGATCAACATATTAATGCCATGCAAATCAAGAGAATTTCACTTGGAAGCTAAAAAGGGGTCAATAATGAATTTGCTCTGCATCGAACGATTATATACAGTATTTCCCAACATTTGGAGCATACAATATTCTGTCTGATTTGAACACATTTTTGAGCTCTCGCATTGAACCAGAAATAAAGGCATTCAAAAAATACGGATATTTTGATCTTTTTTGATATGGGCATTGCCACATGTGAACCTCGAATATCACTTGAAAATCTTTGTATATTCTGGACCGCCACTCCAGAAAATTCAGATAAAATTGTTTGCGGCATTCGCAGTTCGACCTCAACTTCTCAGAAGTGTAATATGTAAAACCCCTTATAATAAAATTTAAGCATTGATGGTAGTAATGAAAGATACAAGTCGGTTTATTTGGTCTTATCATCCATACTGATGATCCCGAAATTGCGAAGTTTGTAATTTGTAATATTTGAAAGGCAATGGACTTCGATCAAAGAATGCTTGGAAGGATTCAAGACATTGAAATTTGATTAATTTGATACATGTTTAAATTAAAATGAAATATTATTTTCTCCCTATTCATTTGAATAAACACTGAATTACCACTGTTAAATTGGGCTGTCCACATCACAAAAACAACAACGACGAAAATTCTTCCAGGGTGCGAAAAAGTATTGCTCAATACATTATCCCCCCCCCCCCCGACTATAATTGTTATTTGAATTGATTGGTTGTTCTCCGGAAGTGGTTCTAAGAGATAATGCAATACTACATAATAAGTCAATTTTTGTTCAGAATTCATTCAGTAATTATCATCAAAAATATTCTCAAAACAAAGTTTTCCATGTCAATTATAGCCTTTTTGTCGCAGATGCGAAGTTTAATGTGAGAACCAATATGTTGAACGCAACCATCAGAAATAAATTTGAAAATCGTTCGCTCTACAATTTGTCTTTCTCCAAGCAATACTGTGATTGATAACAAATATTTGCTGCAAAATTTGGGTTTCCTCTGACTCCAAAGATGACTTTCATTTTTTGCCGATCATTTGTTGATATTTAAAATCTCGCACATTCAGCTCACGATTATCACTTCCATGACCTCCATTTGAACTGAGGCGCACTAAAATCCCGAATTAAATTATCATTCATGATTAAAAGAGGGGTCAATTATTTTTCAACAGCACGAAGGAAATACAAATACAATTTCCTTCAGAATCAATCACACACGCACAATCAAAATGTTCAGTTTGAAAATCACAATGAGAAACAGGAATGAAGAACCAAAAAAAAAGTGTGCACATCAACCGATGAAATTTAAGAAATTAAATAAATTCGAGGAAAAAAGTATTTTCTCATGATGTTGCCAGGATGAATCACTTATTACTTGTGCAATGCAGTATTCAAGGAGCCAATTCAGACGTATCCAAAATATTCACGAATAAAAATTTCAAATTTGAATTGAAGGATGACAATGAGAAAAGCGTCCTTGGACTTTTTTGAAATCCGCGGCTCAAAGTCAATCAAGAATTCGGGCACCGGCCTCTCTGAAGATCTTTTCCAATCAAGATGAAAGCACATTCTCTTTTCATAAACATATCAATTAAAAAAAAAAAGAAGTGCCAAAATTCCACAACACGAATGAAATTATGATCTCACACGAAAAATCCCCGATCCCAGCAACAGCTTTTTTTCTCCGGCGAAGGTGTTGATGAGCCAAAGCCGCCACGCGAACTGAGGCCGAAATAACCGCCTTCGCGACAAACATCAGCATCACCGCCACGACATTAAAAACAGCAAGAATAAGAAGAGGCGGAGAGAAAAAAAAAAGAAATTTGCGTGAACCTCAACAAAACACGTGCCTCCCTCCCTCCCTCCCTCTCTTTCACCGAAAAAAAAATTATTGAATAAAATAAAACGAAAACACGAATCGCACGCTTTTTTGGGGCTCCACATCAACCAGCAGCAGCAGCAGCGATCACATTCCTCGCAAGCCACTCGCTCACCCACTCATTCAACCCCAGCCACACTGTCACCCAGTCACTCACTCACTCACTCACTCGCCAACCCAGCTGGAAATCCGTATTATTTTTCTCACTTTTTCCACATTCATAATACTATTAAATAAAACACCAAAAAAGAAGGTAAGAGAGGAACGTTCTCCACACCCGGTAGTGGCCCTCAGCATGTACATATTCTGATGGTTCGCACTCAGTCATTTACACCGGATTAGGCACTTTCAGCCGGGGCGTTGCCAGAAAAAAATAAAAAGACGGGAGGGGGGGTGGTTGTCACGCTGGTCGCGCCCGCGCAGGACCCAATCCGCCGCGTGCGCGCACTTTTTCAGAGAAGCCCAGCCCACTTTTGAATTCATGGCTGCACACACCCCACGCGCCCTCCTCATCCCCCCTCCCCCTACTGTAACACAGGGGTTCTGGCGGTGGGGGGAGAAGGAGGAGGAGGAGAAGGCGAGTTATATCCTCCCACCCCTCCTGTGGGCTGGGGCGCGCGGTGTGGGCGCGCGAGTGGGGGTGCGAACTGGGCTGGGTCTGGGGTCCACTGGGTGACTTCAGCATGCTTGATTCCGGGTCTCACAATTTCTTGTTGGAAATCTGTCTTGTTATATGGTGCAATCAACACTTGCTTAATGTTTTTAGTTGGTGCAGCAGAAAAAAACGTTAGTTGAAAAAAACGTTAAGCCAGGTATAGTCTCTCCCATAAGATATAAGGGAGAACATTTAGTTGGTGTCCAGCAATATCTTTTAATAAAAAAAAAACAGGAACATTTACAGAAC